GCAGTGCTAGTGGCTGTGCTGGGAGGAGTGGATGGGGCAGAGACAGGTGCCATAATCCAAGGGTTGTCACAGCAGGACTGGCTGTGACAGGAAGGATTGAAATGGAGACAATGGGTATTCACAAACACATGGGAAAAGGGGGGGTTGGTTAGCTCTGAGCACTGTTGTTTGTGGACCCACAGTTGATTCCACAGGCTGGCTCTTGGCATTTACAGAGACTACAGTGATGGTTTGTCACACCCTGAAACAAGACCTCGTTTTTAATACAAGCATCCTGCAATGCTGGGTATTATCTCCACCCTTTCACAAGCGAGGTGAAGCCTGACCAGGAGAACCAATTAATCAGTGTCTTCTCTTTGTGTAATCAAATGAAACAGGAAGAGCTCAAAACTGTTCTGCTGGCTTTTTTCTGGACTAACAGGGGCAGAGTTCACAGAAGTGCACACTGGGAGCAGTGCTGCAAGGGAATCTGCTGACCGTGTCTGTTCCAAAAGAAAAAGGTAAGCAACCACACGGAGTTGCTCAAGAACTAAGCCTGATACCTTTGTCTGGACTAAACTCTCTATCACAGGTTACTCTTAGACCCTGGGCTTCCTGTCAGAATGCCTAAAAGGGCAAGCAGAAGAATTCACAGGCAATGGTTTAGATGCTTTAGGACTTTAATGTTCTTCACACAGTCAACAGAAAACACTAACAACATATGAAGGATGGAGAAAGACCTCAGCAAAAATCTGGAATGTACAGTATTGCCCTGGTCAAACTACAAAAACAGCCATGTGAACACATTTCACGGGGGTTGAAGGGCAACTGAGTTTTGTTTAATAGTCTAACTGAGAAACAAAGAACCATTTCTTCTACTTGTGGCAAGGATAGGAAAAGTGAATCATGGGACTTCTAGATCTTTCTGATGAAGCAGCTTTAGAAGGGAATAGGTGGGAGGGTGCAACTGTCCACAGCAGAGGACAGTCATGCACAAAGTCATGGGTTGAACAAACTCTAAAAGCATCTACAGAACTGTTTCATTAGAAATATAAAGGCATAGATATAAACCGTATGGTGTTAAAAACATACCCACTATATAATCACTAGTATCTTATGTCACTTTTATCTCTTTGTGAGAACAGCAGTATACAGATCCAAAATGCTTAAGAGTCACTGTTGACTTTAACCAATAGCTGCAGAACCCAGCAAACTCACTGCTGTCAGATCCAGAACATGGTACCCCAACCTCCTTGGGGTATGCTCCTGTGAACCCAAAAAATAACTAAATGGAATCAGCAGAACAAAGTCCAAGGCTAGGACTGCAATCCA